CCCCAAAACCCCAAAACCCCAAAACCCCATAAGATTAAAATAGCAATTATTGAAGATTATTTAAATTAACAATTAATATTAAATTCACAAATAATTTCTAATTTATCTATCATTTTCCACTTCATGTGTAGATTATTATTTTCAGTCATCTTCATCTTCTAAATTCTATTAGTCATATGGTTGTATAATCGATTCTATCATAAGTTACATGTCATCATCCCTAAAGCATTAAATCATCAGCAATTATATAAAACTTACATATGTCTTAGTGAAAGGTTTCCATCATTGAACATTGAGACTATGCAGATCAGGTTATCATTGGAGATTCTTGAAAATCCTAGTCTTAACGCACCAAGAGTATACCTATAAATATTTATAACTTATTAAAACTTACGCTGAGGAGCAATTACTAAGCTTCTTGTATACCAAATTTTCAATTTGAGAGTTGAACTTAATCACATGATTTCTGTCTTGGAAGTTATCGCCCAGCAGTCGCATTGAGATGTTCGGGTACTGATCACTAAACTTTATCTCTACATAGGTGCTGTCAGGGGCAAAACTGAATTCCTTAAGAGCTCTTTTGAAGTGGATGATCTTTCCGAATACCTAGGCGCACACCTAATCAATGTTCAGTTCTACTTCCTTCAAGTTATGGTCTGCTCTATAGGCATCAAGCATAAGAGTGGTTTCCTGGATAATGCGATTGTTGCTAGAGTCCATTGTATTTCCGATTGTCTCAGGGATCTTGATTTCTAGTTTACTGTCTCCCACTGGGAATCTCAGATGAATGGTGTTCTTCTCATCTACCATGCCATCAACTATCTGTTTCAGTTCATTAAATGGAAGGCAAAACTCAATCAATGGCAGCTTATTGTTTTACTTGAGATTGTAGTTCCTGGCCTTGTCCTCGGGATTGTTAATCTCCAGTACAAATTGGTTCTTGCCAAAGAACTCACTCTTCAAGCAGCACTTAGTCATAATCTCTCCAGAGTAAGAGTGAGACTTCAATGTGATGCCTCCAATCATTGCTTGAAACAACACATCCTATAGCATTTAATATTAACATCAGTCAAATTATACTATGATCAGAAAATATGGCTTAAAATAAGTGATTAATTCATCACGAAAATCTTTAAAGTGTACTTACAATATATTTTTTGTTGCCATGAGGGAATTTAACTGAATCGAGGCACCATTTAAACTCAGGAATGTTAGTGATGACACATCTGAACGAGTTCTCTATTTCATCTAGCTCATTTTTCTGCATTCTTTTGATTGGCTTGGGTGGAGATGGCGCGGGACTTTAATTAACCTTAATTATATTATTAATTTTTGACAATTTTTTAGATTTATTATTAGCTCCATGCCCATTGCTAGTAGCCTTTGACATTGCGCTTTACTCCTCTTCCTCATCGTCATCTTCATTAATTTGTCCAGTCTGATGAACGACATCCATATTGTACTGCTAATCACCTGGCTCACCTTCTTCATCATCTTAATCACAATCTTCATCTGGCTCATATTTAGTCCTTTACTATTATTACTGCTATTACTGAACTCTTCTTCTTTATTCGATCTATTGCTATTAATAATGAGAAAGCTCTTCTTCATCTTCACTCAATGCATTTGGTTGATGAGTAAGTTCCTCCTCGCCATATTCTTCCATTTCTTAATCCTCTTGACTCATAGTAATGTTAAATATGTTTTAGAAAAGATTCAATACTGAGAGTAAACTTCAAGAAGTGTTTTGGTAGGGAAGATTTTAACTAAATTATGAAATCAATACTTTAAATATTCAAACTTTCATACGATTTTATTATCTCATCTTAATGCTACACTTTAATCATTAAATAGGCTTATAGTTTAATTCTTGCTACATTCTATTGACAATCTCTGTATTCTTATTTCTCTTCTTTCTTTTATATCTATAGTCCCACTTGGCCATATCCAGTTACTGTTAGAACGTTAGAGAGGATATCTTGAAATCTTAGAGTATTTTTTTAATCTCAATCTTGGCAAAGTCATCTTCTCTTTTCTTGAACTCATAATATGCCTCTATCAGAGTGGGGTCTTCTTCCTCGACTGTTGTAGCTATTAACTCAAAGTATTTGTTTTGTCTATCGTCTAGAATTTACTTCGCATCTCTTTACCGCTAGAGATCTTTAAGTTTGATTTTTGATTTCTAGATAACATCTGCACAGCTCTTTCTAATCATATCTAGCCTTTTAATCATTATCTGAGAAGATACGTCCTATTACTTCCTAGGTGATCTAGATGGACTCCCTCTATAAGAACTCATATTAATATTAGACTTATCAAAGGACTTCACTGATAGATGACGCTTAGGCATATCATGATAAATCTCCAGATCTTTATTGGTATCAATAAATGGCTATCTTATTGACAGCTATTTCTACAGCTTGAGATGCATTGTTTTCTGATTAAATGGGCCCATAGTCTAACTAAAAGTAGTCTTTGGCCTCAAATTTCCAAATGTGGATGATGAGAATGTATTTGTTTAGTTAAACCCATCTCTTTGTGTTTATGCTAGCAGAATTCTATTGCTTGGATCCTTACCTATGAAATTGCTACTACTTCCATTATTCCTATGCTCAGCATCGAAAGCGCTAATCATACTATATTGTGCATCTGAATTTTGATATCTATTTCTTGAAAAGCCGAGACCCGTATTAGTCTTTGGCCTTATAAGCTTTCTATCTGTGAATACTTTGTTTATCTCGTTCATTCTTTAATACCCATCATCAAACAACAGACCTTGTGTTAAATCCTTTTACTCATTTTCCGTAAGTTTTGCTTTCAGATGCTCTGGCAATTTTGTTTCTCTTCTGAGTTTGACATAAGCATCAAACTTTTTTCTAGAACTTAGAGGCTGTTTAGTAGAGATATTCGGCTATGATGGTCTTCTGTTCATCACTGATATAGTTGATAACTTGTACTTTTTATCCTGTGAAATCTCATCTTACCTGTTCTTTTAGAGATTAAGAAGCTTAATAAGCAGTCTTCTATTCTTATGAAGCATATAACTATAAGGATCTTTGGAGTACTGTAGTATAGCCTCAACATTACTCATCTTATCATTGATGCCGTTCATGTACTTGAAGTATTCAGTGTCATTAGTTCTTGTAATAGTCTCGTATATGAGTTTACTTTTCACATCATCTTCATTAGTGAAGCTCTTGATCGACTACTCCTATCTAAACTTGCTAACCAACTATCACTCGATTTCTTTTAAAGCTTTATTTGTAAGTCTTTGCCTTTTATCTATCTTCAGCTCCTTTAAGTCTTTTTCTAAATTAGCTTGGGCAGTAATCTGTTCCCTCAAATTGATCTCATCTAATTTTTCATAGGTGTATGCTTTCTTCACTGGTGATTAACCCATCTCTTTTAGCTGGTCAAATTTTTGCTGAAGCTAGGCTAATATTGTTTATCTGCGAGCAAACTTCTTAGCCTCAAAGGTTGCTTTTTCTAGATCAGGGTCGCTTGTCTCTGATATCTCTGACTTCTCAATCACTGGGCGGTGCTTCATTATACTGTTCATTTTTGCGATTAGATTGATTATTGAAATTTGTAAATAATTAAATGTATTTTAGCTAGATATTATCTTTTTATTTAGTTAAAAGTTTAAATAGATATAATAGCTCAATTGATCTTTAAATAGGAACACTAATTTAGATTAATAAAATTTACTATGAGTGGCACAGGTAATATAAAGCTATAAGCACATAAAGTAGGCTTGAATCAATATAGAAACGAATACATTGATTTTGAAGTAAAATAGATTAGAAAAGAACACTAGTTGGAGTAAAGGGCTAAAGAGCTTAAAGCACATAACATTAATAATCTTTATGGACTCATACCAATCTCACGAAACACAGACAGATAATCATCTTTGTTTCCTCATATATCTGTGGATGTGCTAAGCCCTCTTAGAAATAAGTTCAGATCATCTATTGAGAGATACGCAGACAACAAAAGTATGTCACCGAATCAAAGCCAAGCAATTGATCAAGGCTTTATTATTCAAGATTTGAAACAAAAGAAAACTAATAGGTTCGACAAAATAATGAGCAGTTATGAAGCTAATTAAAATAGAAATTATGACAGACAAGGCGAATACAACGATAATGAAAGAAAGGATACTATAACGATAAATGAAACAATCCAGGAATCACCTTAGTAAAGGAGTCATTTTAAAACTAGAAATAATGCTACGTTTCAGATTCATAATGACCCAAATTCTGTTCATTAAAGTTTAATGAGTTTATCTATGAATGAAGGTCGCAGAAATGATAGTGTTTCCTTGAGCAATCAATTTAATCAGAATCTGAAAGAGAATATTAAGTTGAGTAAAATTAGGAAACAGAATAAGAGTATTAGCAGTAGATTTGACCAATAGTCTACAGTATTTTCTACTCAATCCCCTTAAAGCAATTATAGAGTAAAATAAGCTTATGGAGTTAAGGACAGTCCTAATAATCAAGCCATATTGGAAGCTAAAGAGAACAGACAGAAATTGAGACATCTGCTGGTAGAATGCATAGATTTTGAGAACCAGACAAAAGATCATTCACTTGATTTAGACAAAGAAGTAGTCAGATATCAACAATATATGACTACATTTAAAAATTACATTGACTTTAAACAGCAAAATCCATATTCAGAGTAGGATGAAGACTATGATAGAGCCATTGCATCATCTTAGCAAAGAAGAGATGAAAGAAACAAATTAATCAAACTTATTGATAGAAGAGAGAATAATATGATGCAGAAATATAAGCTTATTAATAATTCTGGTATCAATTTAAGTAGATAGAATTAGAATCATGAGCATCATAATTCTTAGCTGTTCAATCAGAATTCAAACAATGCCATAGATGTTTATGGTAACTAAGTTAATGAAGAAAGCTAATTAATAGATGCCTAGGACAGTGAATAGAAACCTAAGAAGCATTTCAGATTTCAAAGTGAGGAGAAGATAAAACTATTTGACATGACCTACAGATCTAATTAAATGAATATAGAGAGGAAGAATACCTAAAAGGTTTAATTCTAGAGTGTAAAAGAAAACGACCCTGAAAAGCAAAGATTACTTTTACTTATATCGCAAGGAATCAGATATGACATAGAAAAAATAAGGAAAGATATAACGAAGAAAAGAAAGAAAAATCTCAAAATCTATCATGAGGAGATGAGTAAGCCAGACTACTGGGAGAAAAATTCTTACAAGGGGTTTAAAGGGTTCATATAATAAGTGAAGGATATGAAAAATGAATACGATAATGATAAATTGAGTATCTCCTGCTCTATCATTCATAAAGCCAAGCATTTAAAGATAAAGAAATTGAATTGATTCATAATAGGCAGTTCAATTTGTTTCTTCTAATAGTGGCTGAGTTTAAGAATATAGACTTAACAATGATTTTCCTTTACTAGAGTATTAAAGCCTAATAAAATTATATTAGCTTTTGAGTTATTTGAATTTTAACGTATTAAATAATTTATTGTAGAAATTTAGTATAATTTCATTAATTTTTTAAGATGTAGTAGTTAAAAACAAAAATAAGCTGTTAAGCTTTTCCTAAGCTAGGCCAGTATATCAAATAAAGCAAGGAGAATAGGATCTAAATAGACTAGGATAACTCAGATATTGATGATTTGAGTGAGATCAGCGACTCAAGGGAGATGACACTCAAATACTCTGATAATATCTCTCTTGATGAATTAACACCAATATGTACTCAAGTTTAATTCTTAAGAACAGAGACTAACAACTAATTGATTACTCAGAATCAGAATGGAACATCAGTATTTAATACACCTAACAACTACTGTTAGTAGACAACATCAAGATATGAGACTGAAGTTATATAAGAAGGATAATATAAAATTAATGATCAAGGTATCCAAAAGCAAGCATTTGAGATGTACAGCCCTAGCTTGATGGATAATGAAGAAAGTCAGCATGAGGAGTAATTGATGTCTACTTCCCAATAGTTTCAAAACATCGAAACTAATGGCTATGAGAATGTGTTTTTGCAAAATACTGAGAGCCAAACCAATTAAAACTTGGAAGAATGCAATAACAAGAATCAGAATATTAAAAATTATTAAGAATTGTACGAACTTTATCAACAGCATCATATAGATTAACAATATCTAGAGCAAGCAATTTAGTAAGATGAAGTTGAAGAAGAGCATTTTTCTCCCCAAAGAAAAGTAAATAGAACTCCCAGTGACTTATTAAGGATGACTTAACAATAATTAAGTAATCAAGACAACCATTTTATACAAATAGATCAAGATAATCAACATTTCTTAGATTAAATGGGTACAAATTTATAAAATAAAAACACTAATGCTAACTTTTAAAATGCAGACTATAGACAAAAGATAGTGATATAATCACAACAGTAATTTGCAAATACATTAAATCTTAAGAACCTCAATGGTAAAAGTATCAATAATGCTTAAAATATTAGACAGAATGAAAAAAATAGTATTACTGTACAATCAAGAAATCCTTACAAGCGAGACTTGAGTAATAAAAAATTGAATAGCCAATTGGATAGCAATAATAATTGCATTTATGATAGTATGTCCACCACCAAAGATAAATAATTCACAAGTAGAGTATAAGGACTAGGGAATTATTTATGCCCACCTCCATTTGACTAGCTATTCAGTCATACAGAGGACTAAAGAACTCTTAAAAATGAGTTATAGCTGTAGAATCAAAATAATCAGTTCTTTAATTAAACAATTGATGATAACAGATATGGCTCAAAACTAAATGATCAATAGAAATACAATTTAAATAATAAATCTAAACCTACTGCAAAATCTCCACCTCAATAGCATTATTCTAATCATGAACTAATCAATTCACCTGAGTAAAAATCTCAATAAACCATTAATGATCATATCAGATCTCAATTATTCAAGCTATTTCAAAACTATTCAGATACATCATATAATTCTGGCAATACGAGAATGAGTCTGAGTAAATTTAACTAGCTATTAAAAGATTCAAGAATTATAGATCTAACCTAGAATGATCAAAGATAACTTTCTTATATGAATCTATATAACATAGTGGTATCAAAGGTTGTCAAATAATCGAATGTCTAGAAAATAATGATTGACTTTAATTAATTTTTGAATATCATCCTTTATATTGCAAAGATCAGATACCCTCAATTATTTTAACAGAGCTCAAAATAGGCCTTAGATTTCTTAATTAATTCATTCTTGATGCCACTTTAGAATACTTTAGACTTAAAAATTTCTCAGCTAGAGTACAAAGCCTCAATCTCTGAAACACACACGAATAAAAAATTAGAAGGTAAAGAATTAACAATGCAATGTAATGAAATTGAATAGAGTAATATAAATAACTATTTCTACTAAATTAGTGAAAAGACTTTATCACTTATTGAGGTTGATATTCAATCTAAGATGATATATAATTCAAGCATTATCAATTCACTTTAGGAAATCTATCTTACATACTTTCCACATGAAGCATCTTAAGGCAAGCTAAAACTTATTAATATAGAGATGCTAGCAAAGATCTCGCTCAATTCTCTAAACCAGTTTCTTAGAGATTTTGAAATCTGTCCCCGTTATGTTCATTAACGTGCTTGTATCCTCATATGGAATCATATCCTAAACACTAAAGATAGCTATATATAAGATGAAAATAAGTATATTAATGGCAACAGTTAAAACAACAACTACAAGTCATCAATCATTTAAAAGTAAAGGTTTAGGATTGGTGCATTCTTCACTTTTGAAGACTTCCTGCAGTACTTATTCAAATTGGCTTTTGTCTTATCCTAATAGCAAATTGACCTTAATCAAAATTCACTCAAGCTTTTGTATCTACTCACTAAGCTTGAAAATGAGGATGCAATCAGGAAGTATATGTAAAGAAATCAGAGACCATACAATCAAATAATCAGATTTATACCATCAGCTAGTACACTTTGCAGAATATTTGGCCTAAATGGATGTGAAAAATATCATGTGAGTGACATCCTATCTCATTTGATACTGAAGAGTAATAGTAATGGTGCTATTAAAATGAGTGGGATAAGTTCAAGATTCAGCAGTCAAAGAGCAAGTTTGGCAAGTCCGAATTCAAGTTCTTATAGAGATGGAGGAGTATTATCAAATATAAAACGAGAAAATTAAGAAGAATAGGCAGTAGATGATACATTAAAAGTAACTAAATATCTTTAGGAAGTCAACGATGAATTAAAAAAGGTATTCCAGCATTATTGTTAACTAGGAGATCCATGTAATAATCTGCATCTTAAATCCCAAAACTTTATTCGAGTATTTAAAGATTGTGGGCTCTTAGATCTAAGAAAATAACAAAAGAAGATCACTCAAGTCGATTTAGATTTGATATTTAAGAACGTTTTACACTCATAGTCCTAATAGTAAAGAAATAACTCTAGAGAATCAATGCTTAGGTCCGCTTATTCAATTAAAACTAAAGGTCGCATTAGCAGTAATATAAGATCTCCTATTCAAAGAATAAATGATTATGAACAACGAAGTGTTAGTAAATATTCCAATAGCATAGTTTCATCCCGAGCTAGTTCTCCTTACAGATCAGTCCTTATCTAAAATAACAAATTAATGAACTTTGATGTCTTTAAAAACTCTCTCTTCTAAATCTCTAAAATACTTCTTCCAAATGGGACTCAAATTGATCAGTTGAAGTTTCTAATTGATGAACATTTATTGAATCTCTTAGAAAAAGATAATGACAAGAGAAATCTTTAGAATAAATTGTTAAAGCATTCATTAATCCTACTTGACTCATAAAAGGTGGTAAGTATTTTATTTGGTTGATAAAATCTACCTTTAGATACAAATAATGTCTGACATGCACAATGAACTCAGTTATTTCTACAAGATATATACAAATAACACTGCTCATATGAATTTTGATTAGTTTATAGTATACTGTGGAGATCATGGCATATTTCCATAGATCTGCCCCAAAAGTTTACTTTATAAAATTTTCTTCATGCTTGCTGATTATAGCGACTTGAATCATCCTAATGAAAATTAAAATCCATAAACTATAAAAGAAACTGATTTACAGCAGTCATACTATAAAACTGCTAATGCCCTACGTACTCCTTTCGGCAATATTCCACTTAAGGATCATAATAATATAGGAAACTCTTTAAGTAGCAGAAATAATCAACATAATATGAGGTAATCCAGCAAAGAGAGTGCTTAAAGTAGCAATAAAAATCATCAATCTAAAACTTATAATGAGGTTGTGATTGACATTCATCTTTTTGTTGAAGCCCTAGGCATAATTGCTTTATAAAAAGATTCATCAACTGTTGCACTTGCAGCTCATCAAAACTCAAATTAAAATTAGAACCACAAGCCAATCTTGAACTTTTAAACTATAGTATAAAAGGAATTCACACTTAATGAAGATTAAGTAGTGCATAAAATACTTGAATTAATTGAAAGGATTAGTTAGTCTGAAGGAGTAAGAAAACTTCAGCAGCGAGAAGTATCACATTCTATCAAGGGCTGCTCTAAAGATAGTAAAAATATCCTGCTTTACTTTAAGAAAAAGTATAAGCCTTACTTTATTGAGAAGTATGGCGAGGACATTTATTTAGAATAAGCATGCGCAAGTAATTATGTGTTAAAGAAAAATAAAAGCCTTGAATTTGATGATGTATTCGAAATGATCTCAGACGGTGGGGAAGACCTATCATTGTTGATATAAAAATAATCGTAACTTTAGCAGTTCAATCAAATGCAATACTTTAATTAAAACTATAATAAAGCATGAAACTTGATAACTCAGGTTTATCTGCCAATGATTATTAATTAAAATCTTAATTTCATTACTCAATTCATAGATTCTATTTAGTGGGGTTTTGGGGTTTTGGGG